CCACTCACTCTGAACCTGCTTCGTTGGGAGGTCCAGAAGGGAAGGTTTATGCACCATCATTCCTACAGCTAACCATTCAGTACATTCATCTCCAGTCTCTGGACACCCAGGCAAGCAGCAAACCCTCTCGCTAGCTGCTGGTGGTCAAGAGCTGCTCAGTCTGTGCTATCTCCAAAACTCCCTGACACCTACCACAAGGTAAACTGGTTCCACTGATCATACCCCATCGGCCCTGGTCCCACCGTGGTGTGGATTTTGTGACTGATCTCCCTCCTTCCAACTCCCATACCTGCATTCTGGTGGCCATAGACACGTTCTCAAAGGCCTGCAAATTCATACTTATGAAAGGACTACCCACCGCCTTTGAGACCGCAGAACTCCTCTTTCAACATGTCTTCTAAAACTTTGGGCTACCTGAAGACATTGTATCAGACCGTGGGCCACAGTTCATCTCCAGGTTCTGGCGAGCCTTCTTCCAACTCCTCGGAGTTTCCGTCATTTTATCATCTGGATATCATCCCCAAGCTAATGGCCAGACTGAACATAAGATCTAAGAGATTAGGAGATACCTGCGATCCTACTGCCATTGCCACCAGTACAACTGGAGCCATTTCCTGCCCAAGGCCAAATATGCACAGAACTCACTACAGCAAAGTACTACCAGCCTGACACCTTTCCAGTGTATACTCAGCTTCCAGCCAACGCTGTTTCCCTGGTCAGGTGAACCATTGGACATTCCAGCTGTGAACCATTGGTTCCAGGAGAGCGAGAGGGTCTGGGACTCAGCACATGTCCACCTGCAACAGGCAATTCAGAGACATAAAACCAGGCCATTACTCCCCGCTCCAACGCTCCCCTACCAGGGACATTCATCTCTGGCTGCCTAGTCATAAGTTGAGTACCTTCACCATCAGGAGGCAGATAAATTATGTCACTTACCAACTCAACTTACCCTCTCACTACCGCATTGCACCTACCTTTTACGTCTCCCTCCTCAAACCATTCACTAACCCTTTGGTCTCTCCTCCCACAGAATCTGGCGAGCCTGATGTACCTCCTCCTCTAGAATTTGCTAAGGAACAACACATCTACTGAGTCAACACCATCCTGGACACCCGGCGACGAGGTGGCCGTCTGGAATATCTTGGGGATTGGGAAGGATACGGCCCATAGGAGAGATTGTGGGTTGCACATGATGACATCCTTAAACTTAACCAGATATTTTAATCAAATCCGCAAATTCGTTTGAAGAACCAAATTAGCCAGAGATCAGTTATCACGATTAGAAGATCTGGAATCTTTCAAATCATCTCAGATGTAATAAGCGATGTACGAAGAACGGGCCCCAGTTGACGTCAAAAAAAATCGTTAAACCATTTTGACGGAAGTGACGAACTGCAAGCTTTGAATGCTTATATCTTCTAAATCCGAATTGTGTCACTGTTTTGGAGCACACTGGCTTATAGATAACATTTAGACTAACATATTGATACTAACACCCAAAAAAACTTTAATTTTGATTTCATGAGGACTTAAAGGTCTGTAAACTACTCCCTTCCATAAGCTTACTCTGCTCCTATTGGTCAGCTGGCCAAGTCTGTTGTGATTGGTCTTTCCATATACAATGCGTGTCAGAAACAAAACGCCCATTACCATAATTATTTTTTTATTTTAGCTCCGGAGGGTTACTTGTAAACAGAGATGCTGTAAGCTTACAAAAATGGCATCGATATTACCTTATAAATTCGAGCCCGAGTCTGAGGATGACACCGATGCAGTCGCTCAACCGGATGTAAACACACTAACTAGTGGAAGTGTTTGTGGGCAGGTCTGAGTGTTCGTATTTCACGTGCAGGCGGGGATTATGCAAATATATTACTGTATATACGTATAGGTAACAGGCAGAAGATTTGAAAATATAACGACTTAAGGCAGTTGGAGTTCACTCTTTCTTTTGAGAGACAATATATTTATTTATCAAGCACTTTTTTGATTAACAACTTTGCAGACTGTTTACATTGAAGGATAGCTATGTTTTCAAACTGCAAAAAATATCTTTTTCGAAAAACCTATATGACTCTGCACTTTAATAATAGTATTTCGTTATGGCTACACTTGAAGTGGTTACAATTTAATTAATTACTATTAATTAAAGATTTAATTAATCCAATTAAAATCATGACAACACAATTTGATTCTTCACCATTCAATTTTCTTTTCCGTGATAACCATATTGCCAATTTTGCTTGACCAAATAAAATATTCAATAAAATGAAAGTCTCTTTCTTATTAAATTGATATTTAGGCCTATATATAAAAACTGATGGTGAAAACACGTCCCAGCCTATGACACCATCTTTCCAGTGTATTAAAATGTGGGATCAATCTTTCACATTTTAAGAATAAATGAAAAACAGTTTCTTCCTGTCTACAAAAAGGACACTCCTGGTTTACTTTTGAATCAAGGTGTGCTCTGTGTCTGTTTGTAACTATTATACCACACACAACTGTAGATCACCAGTTCTTTTTTCAATGGGGGGGCTTGTACAAGGTCCTCCAGCTGCCTTTTTGAATCTTTAAGATTTTCAATTGATTTAAAATGTAACACTTTTACACACAGTGTGTATAAAATTTTCTTACTGGTGTCACTAAACAATTCCAGCTGAGGTGTTTTAAAGGTAAGCAGACTTCCTTCTACTTCCTGCCATGCCCCAAATGCAGCTGAAATTTTGATCTCTGGAAAAGCAGAGATGTGCTCTTCTTCAAAAAGACTTTCAGAAAAAAAGAACAATTCTGTTGAAAAAGGTCTTTAACTTTGTTCAACAGTTTCTGAGCCATTCAAACTGACTTTATGTTGTTCTTTAAAGCCAAGTTTTCTGCTGACAACCACCCATCTTTATTTAGCGAATGTCCAACTTTGCTTATGTCTGCATTCCACATAGCTTTCTTCAGAGACATTGATTGTAAAAGGTCCACATCTATTGCAGGATTGCACAAAATAGGCTCTTCTCTCAACCACAAGCCTTAACCATGGTATAAATATTGCTAGTTTTGGTTATTTGGGGAGTTACCTCTCCCCCCTCCCCACAAACTATGCTCCTGGCATTTCCCTGTCAACCTCCTAGTAAAGCAAATGTCTTTCTGAGAAAAAGTTTGAGCGCATAACACATAAATACTGCTATAAATCAATGTTTTCAAATACATTATAAATGAGATAAAACACTTACAGTCAGCGTTTAAAGCAGCTCCTCATCTGTTCCACATTGCGAGTGAAAGAAAATGGTACCTATGAGAAATCTTTAATAAATATATCTGTTCATACTTATTTCACTCAAAACCAGATTCCAGATTTATTTCCAACAACTTTCACACTAAAAAAAACAGCTGTGGATCATCCAGTTAACAACACAGTATTAAGAATCAAGCGTATGTAAAATTTTGAATGGGGTCGATTTTATAAATTCAACTATTATTTTCTCTTGTGGACTAAATTTAAACGTCTTTTATGTGAAATATCTTATTCAGGTCAGTACTAAATAAAACATAACATGCATTTTGTATGATCCCTCTTGTTTTGGTAAAATAATTAACATTTTGCAGATTCTGCAAGGTGTATGTAAACTTTTGACCTCAACTGTACATCCTAGTTAAATGCAGAGCTTGAAGTAGAAAATTTAGTGCTGGTACTCCCCCTCCCCAACTTATTTATTTTTATTTTTTATATTAAATAAGTACTTTTTAATTTTCATAATTGACAATGTAGGCTATGTGTGGTGCCACAATCAATCAATAATTAAATAAAAAATTTTCAAATAAGCACAAGTCAAGCTGCGATACCAAACAGGACCACAGGGAGACGCCAAAGACCACTAAACCTCCTGCCTTGACCTGACTGGATACATTCAGAATCGCTAAACTTCTTATCAACGCATAACAACTCAGCCAGCCAGTGGCCATTATAAAACATTATTGCTTTTAAGCCAAATAAACAATGAAAAGAATAATGTACAGACATCTGGACGTGAGTCACTATTCTCTCCACAATCTCTGATGAAATCGGTCGTGTTTTCCCTGCATTAGTGCGGTTTTGTACAACTGTTTGAATTTGCTTACTGGATCCTCCTTGGAGTTTATCAGTTTACATTAATGATCGCAAAAACCTGCTTCTTGTCATTTTAAGGTATTGTTTTCATTACAATGTACTGATTCAAATTAGTAATTCATTATTATTCTACTTCTCCTGACATTCATTCATTTTCCCCTCGCTGGTGAAATGATGCTGTATGCCATTTGCTTCAGAAAGGCGTGTTAAGGGCGGGTTTTTAGAGTAGCGCTGGTCCGACAGTGGAAGCGCAGCATTGGACCCACTCGGTTCATTAGCCCTGGCTCACACGCACTGGCCAGAAAGTGGAAAAGCGACAACCCCTGCAGCAATAATAATAATATTAATTAAAAATTCCTTACATTTATATAGCGCTTTTCTGGGCACTCAAAGCACTTTTACATAGAAGGGGGGAATCTCCTCAACCACCACCAGCTCAGTAGTCAGACAAGACTCCGCTTGCATTCATTCACACGATTTCTCAAGATGAGAGGTGACACCTCATGGTACTGTGATTTATATGCTGTTATTTCACCAGACACTGACTCTTTGACTCTGAGTACTGGCAACATGTCAGAAGTGCAGGTACGCACAAAAAAGTGCCAGTACGCTAAAGACTAAAATATAGAAGTGCCAGTACTGCATACCGGTGCGTACCGGCCAACTTCAAGCACTGGTTAAATGGATCACTGAGAAAAAGAAGAAAAAAAGTGTGGTGGGCTTGGATTTATATAAGGAGTTTTTTAAATGAAACTCTTGCATGTATGAATTGTTCACAGTAAGATCAATAACATGCATTTAGGTAAATTTACATTTCATGCTGACTTTAACTCAGTGTGCAGACAATGTGAATGTTTTAGATAAGATAACATTACATTTTATTTTGTTTTTATGTCAGGTATAATTCACGGGCAGTCAGTTAAGACTGATGGAGGTCCATCAGACATCCAGAGAACAAGAAGAGACCAACAAGATCCCAGCAGACACACTCAGAACAGAACTGGACAAGAGCCGACCAATAGGCTGTCCATTGACATGCTCCCTGACAATATGACACGAGTGGTGGTGAGTTAATTATTGTATTACTTTTGTTCATTACTCATTAAGTAACTCATCATAAAGTCATAAAGATGAGTACTCATTACTCATCATAAATTTCAACCATGCATTCCTAATATATGAATCCGAAGGAAAATTATGCAGCGACTGTGTCCTTCCACAACCAGGCACTGCACAATATTTTGCTATATTTAACGGCATGTTTATTGCTTGGTTGCTCAATCCGGTTTAGCGCCACTTATGTTATTTCCCTACACGAATCAGTGCAAATTAGTAGTCAGGGCTACAGAATTAGGAGTTGATATTCTTCTGTGGAGGCGGTATTTAACCTATAGATAGGCACATTCCAGGATCTGACGTTCGCTGGGCCTGGTGTCAATAAAAGCTTTTATTTCAGTAACAATGACGTTTTGAAACTTACAGGATATTCTTTTAGTAAGATGACCTCTTATATATTAAAACCTCAAGTAAAAGTTGATTTCTCAATTCATGACCCCTTTAATATGGGAAAGGGCTGAGCTGAAGTTATCTTGTGCCTCATGCTCACAAGCCGATAGTCTCATCTGATTATATTGTACAACACTTGAATGACATTTTCTTATTAAAATGCTGCTCCCCAAAATATTATTCAACATAATAGCATACTTTTTTCGATGAAGACGTTTGCTATAACAAAGCAAATTAAAAACCCTTTGCCATTATCAGTAATTTGACGTTATGGTGTGGACAAGACCCAGCCTGCCACCTGTGTGCAGCCCCGGCAAACCTCAGACATATCCTGGTAGGCTTGTTAGACCAGCCTGAAACAGGGAAGGTACACATGGCATCACAATCAAGTACTGAAGTGCTTGGCGGAAGCAATACAGACCAAGAGAGTGTCAACAAACTCCATCCTCCAAAATGCCAAGAATACCTTACCAAAAAGGCAGTCCTTTCTTAGGGAAGGGGAGAAAAAGCAGGCTACGTGCCTGTCCCCTGACGCAGGCCAGCTGAATATAGCCAGGGACTGGGAAATGCGAGTCGACTTAATCCACAGACTCACTTTCCCATTCGAAATTGCAGTCACCAATCTGCACCCAGACCTGGTTCTCTGGTCAACTCCAGTAGGATCGTCATAATAGTCGAACTGACGGTCCCTTGGGAAGAGGCCATTAACGAGGCCTTTGAAAGGAAGAAGCTGCAATATGCCAACTTGGCAGCTGAGGCAGAGGAGCGGGGCTGGACAGTCAAATCAAGTCAAGTCACCTTTATTTATATAGCGCTTTTAACAATACAGATTGTGTCAAGGCAACTGTAAGGGAAACAGGTAAATTTAGCTCAAAGGGAATCATTTAAGATTTTAAAGGGAATTTGGACAGAATCACTGTTTTACGGCTGATCACTGAGACAGCCAGTGATTCATTGAACGAGCCGTATAACATCAACTCTGCAATGGATATTTATATCCAAAATATAGTGAAAACACTATTGATTAGCACAGTAACAAGATCGACAGTTTAAGACATTAACTTGTAAGCACAAAACACAAGATACTTCTCTTTTCAATATAAATAAGGCTTTATTGGATAAATCTAAGACATGTAAACTAATCTAACACATGAACACACGCATTCACACCAGTTGCAGAAAGAGAGAAAGTGAGGAAATTAGTTTAAGAGAATGAAAATGTGAAATCCCAAGTTTACAGCAATATATGAAAATGCATAGACATGAACAACCATCAATCACTTAATTAACCCTCGCATTGAGTTCCTCAATGAGGTTAAAATTATATTAAGTGCACCAGTTCAGCTAGAATCTGGAGGTACTTGCTTACCTGTGAAAGGGGTTCCCTTCCTTGTCTGGTTGCCGAAAAAGGGTTTCCCGAGGTTGCTGATTGGCTGGAAGTTCAGTCTTGGGAAGCCAGTGGTTGGGCGTTGGCTGACGACGCGGAGTTGTGGGCTGGTTAAAGTTTTTAGTTTTGGCAAAACTTAACTCAGAAGAACGCGAAACTCTCAACGGAAAATAAAATAAACTAAAGTAAAGAAATAGAAGTAATGTTTGACGAGACTAGGTGGCGTTTCTCCTCATGGTTTTGGTGGAGCTGGCATGTAAGCCAGAGCATGCTCAAAGAGCACAAAAAACGATGACTGAAAAGCACGGCTAGAAGCCATGACCAAAAAGAAGAGAAGAGAAGAGAGGAGAAGAGAGTAGAAGAGCGTGATTTGATGGTGTCCTGAGTATTTAAACTGGGCTTTTGGACACATCCCAAATGGTGCCTTGACCAATTAGATATCGTCTTTGCTGGGGTGTTGTATATTTCTCTTCCCAATTCATAAATCAAAATGTTATCTCACCAGGCACATGGTCCGAGTTTTAACAATCTTGCAGAGTATACTTTTGGACATTTTTCATTTTTTCATTTATTTATTTAACCAGGAAGAGACTCACTGAGATTAAAATCTCTCTTCCAGGAGTGTCCTGGCCAAGATAGGCAGCCGAGTTTGCATATACAAATAAACAATGTAGTTACAACATACATTTCAAAACCAACATATAACCGGTTAAGAACAATTACACACCATTAAGTTGCTCTCAAGATTGCATAATAAAGACTTAACAATAAATCTCAGAGCACCATGGTACAAAGCATCCAAGGAAGAAAGAAGATAAGAAGGGGCACGCTGGTAAACCACATCCCCATATTCGAGAATCTGTAAAAAAGCAGCGGGCACTAGTTTTTTCCTCACCTTAAATGGGAAACATGACTTATTTCTAAAGAAAAACCCTAACTTCTACTTTAATTTTTTACTCAGATACTTAATGTGTGGACCAAAACGTAATTTGTTGTCAATGATAATACCCAGATATTTGTACTCTGACACTGAGGTAATTTGGCTCCCCTGAGAAGTTTGAAGGACAACAGAGTTCTGAAAATAGCATACATTTAGTTTTTTCAACATTTAAAACCTACTTCAAAGCATGAAACCTGTTTTGGATAATATCAAAAACAGACTGTAATGCAGCCAAAGATTGTTGTTTAGAGGGAGCTGAACAGTATACAATAGCATCATGTGCGTAAAAATGGAACCATGCTTTATCAATATTAAAATCAAGGCAATTTTTATATATACTGAATAATAATGGTCCCAACACAGATCCTTGCGGAACTCCCTTGACAAACTCTAAAAGGTCTGACTTAACACCTTCCACCTGGACACATTGGGTTCTACCCTTTAAATAAGCAGTGAACCATAAAATAACATGTTCTGATAGTCCTACCCATCTAAGCCTATCTAATAATATGTTGTGATCCACAGTATCGAAGGCCTTTGATAAGTCAATAAAAAGACATGCACAATGTTGTTTATTATCTAATGACTCCACGATATCATTCCTTCACCTGAAATGTTTGTCTTTTCATCCTGAAATGCGAGGCAAATGTTGGATGACAATAATTAGTGGAAACCACAGTTTCCACAAATCCCTTCATTTGATTGGGATGTTCTCTTTTATTCTGGAGAGCAAGGGCAGTGGCTGTAACATTGAGCGTATTTTGCAGTATTAAACACGTATGTATACTGATTTCATCAGGCTCCGAAAATGTCATTTTATTTATTTATTTATTTAACCAGGAAGAGACTCACTGAGATTAAAATCTCTCTTCCAGGAGTGTCCTGGCCAAGATAAGTTTGCATATTTGCATATACAAATAAACAATGTAGTTACAACATACATTTCAAAACCAACTTCCAGGAGTGTCCTGGCCAAGATAGGCAGCCGAGTTTGCATATACAAATAAACAATGTAGTTACAACATACATTTCAAAACCAACATATAACCGGTTAAGAACAATTACACACCATTAAGTTGCTCTCAAGATTGCATAATAAAGACTTAACATAATTATAAGACACCAAGTTTTGTAACTTCATCAGAAGATTCCAATCTGAGGCTGCAGCATATTTAAAAGAGGTTTTACCAAGCTCAGTTCTGACAAAAGGTATACAGAGATTGTAAATTGATTGAGAACGCAATGAATGATTTCCAATTAAAGTCCTTTGTATAAAACAACAGAGATACTTTGGCAAATAACACAAAATTGCCTTATATATCAACAAATGCCAGTGCATTTTTCTCCGTCAATCAGTAATAAATCTCAGAGCACCATGGTACAAAGCATCCAAGGAAGAAAGAAGATAAGAAGGGGCACGCTGGTAAACCACATCCCCATATTCGAGAATCTGTAAAAAAGCAGCGGACACTAGTTTTTTCCTCACCTTAAATGGGAAACATGACTTATTTCTAAAGAAAAACCCTAACTTCTACTTTAATTTTTTACTCAGATACTTAATGTGTGGACCAAAACGTAATTTGTTGTCAATGATAATACCCAGATATTTGTACTCTGACACTGAGGTAATTTGGCTCCCCTGAGAAGTTTGAAGGACAACAGAGTTCTGAAAATAGCATACATTTAGTTTTTTCAACATTTAAAACCTACTTCAAAGCATGAAACCTGTTTTGGATAATATCAAAAACAGACTGTAATGCAGCCAAAGATTGTTGTTTAGAGGGAGCTGAACAGTATACAATAGCATCATGTGCGTAAAAATGGAACCATGCTTTATCAATATTAAAATCAAGGCAATTTTTATATATACTGAATAATAATGGTCCCAACACAGATCCTTGCGGAACTCCCTTGACAAACTCTAAAAGGTCTGACTTAACACCTTCCACCTGGACACATTGGGTTCTACCCTTTAAATAAGCAGTGAACCATAAAATAACATGTTCTGATAGTCCTACCCATCTAAGCCTATCTAATAATATGTTGTGATCCACAGTATCGAAGGCCTTTGATAAGTCAATAAAAAGACATGCACAATGTTGTTTATTATCTAATGACTCCACGATATCATTTAAAACTTTTAAGGTGGCTGTAGTAGTACTATGTCCTTTACGGAAACCAGACTGATTATTAGACAAAATGTTATGACCATTTAAGTACTGTCAACTGTTT